CCCCACCCCCCCTGGCAGCGGCGGCCGCCACCGCCGACTGCGGCCCCCTTGAGCTCCCACTTTGCTGCCGCCGCCGATACCGCCGCGCGCGCTACCGCCTCTCTGTCTATCCGCGCGCGCTACCTGAATCGACTCACCCGGGATGCTGCAATTGTTGACAATGCCGGCGAGCGAGCGGGAGTGAGAGAGAGAGAGAGAGGGGTGGTGAGTGTGTGTCGCGGGGCGATTCCGCATTTCGGCCCACGACCGTCGGACGAGCGGGTGTCGTTCTCTCCGTGACAGCCAGCGGCCGCAGAAGTGCGGAAGTGCGGGCGCGTGCGCGCGTACGGTAGTACCGGGTAGTACCTACCTACCTAGCTGCGTATCTCTCTCGTCGTTCGGTTCGTGTCGCGAAGTCAGCGGCTCGAGGAGAATTTCGCCGACGATGTGACGGGTGTCAGGAAGAACGGCTGTACCGTGACGCGGCACAGTGTCGAGCGCGTCGAAGAGGGTAATCGATTCCGCTCCTGTCGGTGGTGGTGGTGCTGCTGCTGATACACTCCGGAGGGTTCTCGGGGATCGTCGTGTCATGCGTGCCCCCGGCATGAGGGTCGTCGAGTACGCGGCACCGGCCCGGATCGGCGACGCGCGGTGATCGACGCGCGGTGACCGCTGATCGTCGCCGATCAATCCCGCCGTCGAGAGAACGCTCGCTGCGAGCGCAGTGAACGACAGGATGTCGCTACCCCGCGGCGTCGGCCTCGGCGTCGACGTCGGCCAACTGATGCAGCATCAGCAACAGCAGCAGCAGCATCACGTGCTGCCGGCGGCGTTCTTCCTGCGCGCCAGCGCCGAGAGGTACCAGCGGACCCCCAAGTGCGCGCGATGCCGCAACCACGGGGTCGTGTCCGCGCTCAAGGGCCACAAACGGTACTGCCGATGGCGGGACTGCGTGTGCGCCAAGTGCACCCTCATCGCCGAGAGGCAGCGCGTCATGGCCGCACAGGTAAGGAGCTGCCGCCGAGGAGCCGACGCTCGACGTGCCGCGACGCGTCGATCGTGGAACCTTGCCTCCCTGAGCGTCCCTGAAGCTAGTAGCAGACTGCTAGGGGTAGGATCTATATTTCGGAGCGCTTTAGCTATGTAGTTGTGTTATTAATTCGTGATGTAAAAACGCTTCGAAGCCTGCAAAGCGTCCAGCGGCTTGCACATCGGGTAGTGGAGATCGAGGCTTGCGGAGTGAGGACCGGAGATTTGACCAGAGTCCGTGCGAAGTGAGCCAAGACCGAAATTCATTCGTTCGTCGAATTTTAATCTCTGATCCGCAACACTCTCAGTCTCCAATACCTGGCTTTGATAAGCGCGACGTACGAACCCCACGTCGGGATTTCACGTCGGTTTGATAAATGTCCTCGAAGAAGGGAAGAGCATGATCGCGGGTAAAACTCGAAACGCGGATGTTTCTCGACCAGTATTAATCGTCAAAATCGTAAATCGTTGTGACTCGCTATCGAAGACTAGTCGTCGCTCCGCGAGAGCGGGTAAAAATGTTTGAATATACCGTAGATTATAAGACTTATGATTTTATATATATATATATCTTTTTATTACTTTAGCTTTTTTGCTAAGAAGAGGATTTGGTTTGCACTTTAGTCTTACCGCATTCATTCATTCATACTTCAATTCTATAATTTCTATCTTTTTATACATAATCACATTAATTACTCTAGTCTTGCACGTGCTTTTGATGAGACGTATGAGTAATTAATAGAGAGATAAAAAATCTGTCTAATTGAGATACGTCATAATCGTCATAAAATGTTCTATCTGTACTGTGCATACGAATACTGATGATTAATCAGCGTTCTACTTGTGCGTCATTGCTATATTTTTTCTCAAATATGAGTTTATAACTGTAACCCAAATTGCACTTAATCCCCCTTGCGCTACCATGTCATATTTGATGTCACATTATACATATTACTGAATACGTGCGAACGCGCACTTATCGAAAATAATCTATATCCGATATCTGCAAATAAAAGCTGTCACCGACACAATTCCGCCGATTTGACATAGGCGCGTTAGTGTGTCCGACAGATCACGGGTAGAATTACCAGCTCATGTAACGTTTCAGGATCGTAATACTATACACACACCTGAGATTCCGCATCAAGCACCCTCCGGTATGATCGGCTTATGCTTCGGCCCGGTTCAATTTCATTTGAAATCTCAACATCCTCCTTCTGCGAGCCCTCGGCTGCTTTGTTCAACAGCGAACAAAACGATCGATATACGTAATTGTCGTGATCCGCACGCGCGATCTTGCGTTACACGACACGGAATGCTCCACGGAACGAAATTTAATTCGCTATTCGCGAAATGCGTGTATGCACTCCCCAGATATCAAGATGACATTAATAAGCATTCCACGTGTGAGAGCGTGAAGTAAAAATTGATTAACGTTGGATCATGAAATTACCATGAAATTATCACTGTGAAAGCTTGAGCTTGAAACCCTTAACATAAACGTTATCCGCTGTTCTCTTCGTGAAAAAATCAATTCTTTCTGCGTTCCCCGCCTTCCATGTTTCCATTGCTATTAGTTCGCTGTATATATAATTAACGAACTTAACATTAATATCGAGATTCACTAATCTCGCGCACATCTTCCAGTCGGGCATCTCCCGTCTCGGGAGAATCCGTCAGTGAATTTCAAATGACTTCCACCGGAGAAAGCTACCCTTATTAAACTCAACGCGTTAAAACAAACAAACGCAATACACCCCGGAACACCCCGCCCATAGGCCGATCCCCCCGAAAAACGCGAACATTGTGTGCGTTCGGGAAGCGAGCTATCAATGCTAAAGTGTGTCGTTCCATCTTCGTCGTTCCATCTAATAAGCGATGAAGATAGAATGACGCTCCCCGATGAACGCATCCATCAACAAATTCCACGTAACTTTTCCGCCCCCTACCTCTCTCCACCCTCCTCTTCGGCCCGTTTTCAAGCGGCGAACAAACTGCTTCAGGTCGCGCTCAGACGGCAGCAGGCCCAGGAGGAGAGCGAGGCGCGCGAGTTGGGCCTGCAATTGCAATACAATACCGGCAGCTGCACCACCGCCCCCGTTCTGCCGGCGGCCGCCGGCGCGACGCCAGCTGGTAGCCCGCCCCCGCACCCGGCGCACGTAGGCAGTCCGGCGGGCCTCGCGATACCCGCGGCAGCCGCGGCCGCCGCCGCCGCCGCCGCCGCGCATATCCAGACGCTCCACCAACCGGAGTGCGGTCTTATGCCGAGGAAGAGGTCCACCCAGGACGAGTACCGGCAACCCAAGGTCGAGAAGGGCGACGCCGTCGTCGTGGCCGGTGGTGGGATCACCGGTGAGTCGCAATCGAGTAGCGAAATCGCTTCGCTCGCTCATTTCCACTTCCGGGCGAGGTGATCGCCTCCGGGGCTGCGCTTCTGGACATATAACGAACGCTAATGCGCCTTTCTTATTCCAAGTCCCGTTTTTCCTATACATGGAGGAAACGATCCGGTTGGCGTGACTGAATTTTCCGTTGCCTGGGGACCAGATGAAAACGGAGGTAGGAACGGAGAAATTCCTGTAGGAGGTTCCTGCTCAGTCACTCAGTTGTCTCAACCGAGTTTCAACGCAGCTGAATATGTTCACGCAAATGTTCTTACATCAAAAAATGAGTTTGGTCGGAAGTACCCGACGACGGACGATCAAACGCATTTCGCTTCAAGGAAACACAACTTTTCGTTCTCACGAATCAAATTCGATTCCCTTCAACCGAAACGCGTTTGGTTGTCCATTGCCAGGTAGATGCAATTAAACTCATCTTTCAATACAGTCGCTGTACGCAGAGACGTTATTTCCTGTCACCGAGTTTCCATCTGGTCTTTATTCAGTTGCAGCAACTGAGTTCCTTTTTTCCCCGGTGTGACAAGTTAACTTTAGTTAACTCCCTCTTTCTTTCCGTTTCCTCTTTCTTTTATACGATGCGACGTCACTCCGCGGTGATTCGTGCGAGAGATCGAAGTCGTCCGGTCTTTCACGATCAATTTCGACGAGATTCACCGAGTCTCCGTCGTGTCTCGATACACACGTTGCGCGTCCATATCGCCGCGAGGAAAACAGCTTCACGGTAACATAAGTGCAATACGGGGCATAATAAACGGCGGCACGCGACCGAAGCGGGCGCGCATGTGCGTTCGGCACACGCATGACTTGCGGACGAGTGCCCATTAGGAACGTGCGTACACGTCTTTAAGTAGGGCAAGTGGCCGCTATGGCCCATAATGTTAAGTAAATAATAGCGAGGCTCGCGGGCCCTTATTATGCCACTCGAAGCAGAAGTCGTGCTCTCGTTAGTGGCGGGTGCCTTTAATTCTCTCCGCCTCGACCCTTCCGCGGGCTTCTTTTCCGCCACGACTCATTCTCACCCTATATATTATTATATATATATATATATATATAGTAAGTGGAATGTACACGCGACCTGGCGTAAGTCCAAGTGCGCTCCCGCTCTTCTGATAAACGCAACCTTTGTGCATTAACGGAGCTATTCTGAATTAGCCGACTCGCTCCCGATATTCAATAAGAGATACTTTGTTTCCATTGCGTGCCTCGCGCTTCATCTGCCCTTTTGACACTTATTTCATGCCGACATTGCATATAGACAACTCATTAAGACAGGAGAAGCTTTTTAAAGTCATGTTGAATGGCGATGTTTAGTCTTAAATGTATAATAAAAGATAGATCTATATGCAAACTACGATATACATCTGCTTATCATATTTAATGTCGCAGAATGAGAAACGATATTGTTATTATTATATGAGCATAGTATATCATATTTATCGATCTTTCAAATGTGGAGTGAATTTTATCATGGATAAAAATTAGATTGATTCCGCTTCTCACAGTTATTAGACAGAAATTCGCGGGTTTTCGCGGATTACGAGATTCGAAGATTGCAATTGAACGGACGAAAAATGCGATCTCTTCAATCAATTCTGTCAGTTTAAAATGAAGTTCCACGTAAATTAAATTCAGAGGGTTTAATCGTCGAGATACGCGACGTTAAAAATGAAATGGGACGTGGAGTAATGGGGATCGCGTGCCGCAAAAGTCCGCTGACAATTATGTGAGCCATAAGAATCGGCTTTTTCCCGGCGGGCATCACTTTACAGGGGTGCCAGTTGCGATCGAGTATCACTTTATAACAATGCAGTTGCAATCGATGGTCGGGTTCGTTCGCGGGGACACTCTACTATGTAGCATTTTTCTATCGCGCGCGTTGCATTTCATTGTTACCTCTCTGGCGGTGACGTCCGAAAGAGAGACCGCGTTACGTTGCGCGTCCCATCGCGAATAGTTGCGGTTAATAAAATCCACCATGCATCGTGACACATCTCGTTATTACACGCATGTCCACTCAGCTCGTACGCTCGTAACAAAACCCGTGCGGGGTGGTCCGTTCGTAACTGCTCACGCATTGCGTTTTAAAACCGTTATTTGGACGAGGCGTGCTTTTTCCGTACGCGCGGGGCACTTGTTGGAATAATTGACGGAAATGTTGAAGTAGGCGAAATTTAAACGTCAAATAGAAGCAACCCGTGATGACGAAGCGAAGGAAATAAAAATCTTCTTCCGTGCGTGAGACAACTGGTCGGAACATTCGATAAAAATTTCGGAGCAACAAAAATTACAATGTCAAGTAGGGATCAAGTTTTTTCGCGAGGATGATAAATGAAGAAGGTGAAAATCTTTCTCTGTACGAAACACTTGTTGGAGTATTCGATGGAAAGTTCGAAGTAGCGAAAATTAAAGTATCAAACGAAGACAATTCGTGATAATTAAATGAAGAAAGTGAAAATCTGACACAGACAGATTAATCGCAATGATTTTAACAGTACGTGCTGTTTCACAAAAGAATCGTGTATTGTTAGATCTCCGCTTCGGAAACGGTTGTATCGCGGCTGAAGCTGTATAAAATACTTACTCGGTTCTACTATTCTCGGTTCGTCAGTGCATGTGTAATTCCCATTACAAATTGGACTTCTCTATCCGCGATGCGCGTCCGATTACGTCACGTAGAGAGAAAAAGAAAAAGGCAGAGGGAGGTGAGGGGAGCAGAAGAGGCCCGATAGCGATCGTCTCTCTCCCGGGCGAATTCGAAGCGCGCGAGAAAAAGGCCGTGTTGTGCCGTGTCGGCAAAGAATATCACGGGCGAACATTTCCCTGCCGCGGGGGGGAAATGCTTTCGCGCTTCTTTATGGAACGTGGATTCTGTCGCCGATGAAAAAACAAAAGGAAGGGGAGGAAGAAAGGAGAGAAGGACGACGTTGAGAGGAGGGCGGCGTTCTTCAACTTGTGCGGAAGTAATTCAGAAGTAATTAAGAACTACCCCGTCCGCACGCGCCGGTCGAAAGCCTCGATTCAATCGTGTCTACCGATAACACCGCGTTATCGGTTCAATGAGAATTTCACTGTCATTCGGTATGTTTCCGACTGAGAGAGACAGAGAGGAGAGAGAGATTCGTTGGCCGAATTTTCCTCTTTTTTCCTTCCGCTCCGATTGCTTCTTTCGTATGTTCGTCCTCGAGAAGTTTCGTCTTCGCTCCGACGCGAAAAATGACCGATACAACCTTCCCTCCCTCTCTCCCTTTTACGGAAATTTCATTCGTTGACGCGACGGACTGTAGTGTCGTGGAAAATAGCGAGAAAAGGTGAGGGAAAAAGAAAAACTGCGAGGCGAACGACGTTATCCGCCACGTCGAAGAAACCCCTCGGGCGCACCTGGTTTCAATTACGGGTGGCGAGTGCACCATGCGTACCTGCGAGGGACGAGTGAAGGGAAAGATAGAAAGAGAGAGACAGAGAGAGAGAGAGAGAGAGAGAAGAAGCGTAAGATGTCTCTCTCTCTCTCCGGCCGATCTTCGAAACAGAGTGCTTACAGTAGTATATAGACGAACTGGGGGAGAGTCTCCGGTCGAGAGAAGTTTAGCAGTAATTGAATTTCTCGGGCCAGTGCCTTCGACCGCGGGGGATTCTGGGTTGGTCGCTGATACACCCTCTCTCTGCCCCTGTCTCGCTCTCTCGCTCGTTCGCTCCTTCTCCGGGTAGATGGGAGAGAGATCACGAGGTTGCCTGCCAAGTGGGTGGGTGCGCTCTCGGTGGCGGAGAGAAACTCGACGAACCCCCATTATATCGCGAACGGGGAAAGAGATATCCACCTCTTTATACTTAATACTAGGGACGGACACTCGCGACTTCGTCGAAGAAGTGGCAAGGGGGAGGGGGCAGAGGATCCCTTTCTTCGAGAGTGCGGAGAAAATTTCGATGCTGGCGAGGGGAAAGGAGGATGAACTGAGGTTTTTTTTTGCTATCGCACTTTCCACGCTACGTCAGCATCGCCACTTCTTCCGAATAAGTACGAATCGTCGCGGCGGGTCTCGCGCGATATCGCGGAAATTCGCGGAATGTCATTAATTGTCGTTCGCTTTCGAGCGACTCCCTCTCGAGCGGGGCGCATTTATCCGACGAAGTCGACTCGTCTTGGGGAATTCATTATTCGACAATTTATGGCAATTGACTCTCCAGAGTGACAGGACACGTGTCTACGTTCTTATCGATGTTAATCTATATAATCAAATAATATACAATATACAGATATATAAAAAATATTTTCGACCGACTATTGCGTTAATTCTTCAGCTTTGGCGTTAATTTCGTCCGAAAAACTTTCCACTTTACATTCTACGATCATTTTTCTTCGATCGTTCGAAATTACGAAAATAAAAACAGACCCGTCGCTAATATATTTTTTTTTAATATTCGAATAAATATATATAATTCTGAGACGCGAGTAATGTCCGATGATCAATCGCCTGCGCGACTTTCGCGATAAATGATCGTTCACCGCCAATAAGCTCACGGAATTCACGTATGAATTATATTAACCGACATTTACAGGCGATTAAAGCGCACACACATACACACACACAGCGTGGATCCGCGTAGCAAAGGGCGAAACGCCACGGCGCAGTCATTACGTCGAAAAGGAGGATGTAGAGATTTGGTCTTTCCGCTGAATTCTCCGTGGAGGAGCAGGCACAGGATACGCTTTGTAGGAGCCGGTGCACACACATACACACACACCCACTCACATATATACACACACATGTACACGCGCACGGCAGGCGCCTTTTGTACGTACGTGTGCGACACACCCTTTATCCCGCAAGGATCACTTGGTCGCTCCGTCTACTGGGACCATTATCCGGCAGTTTCTCGGCAGGAGAGAGAGAAGCTTCTTCGAGTGTCCAAGAAACTTTGTGAAAGACCAGTTCGCTTCCGTTCTTCGTCCTT